CCTCAGACTCCAGCCTAGCACAGTACTATGGGCAATTAGGCCATAGACTAGGGGATCTCTCCTCCCCCTTCCTCCCCCCCTCCGCCCCCCCGTCTCTCCATCATATCAATATACTAGTAATTGCCAAGTCATTTTCTATTATTCAGGTACATGGAGACTATATGTATGGAATTACCAATCTTGGACCTTTGTGGGATGCTGAAAATGATTTTTTTTTTTTAAAAGTTGTTCTTAACGGTGCTCATTGAACCTGAAATGGAGTTACCAGGCCACCATCTTGTGGAAATTAAATCAACACAAATACATTTAGAACAGGGCAAACATCATACTTCCTTTAAAAATCACTAGCTGCACTTGACCTCTGTGACTGCTTTTGGCTTCTGTTCTCTGTTTTTAGTAAAAAATGTGCACTTGGTCTACATATTTACAGAACAAATGAAAAATGTTTTGTTTATAGTTTTGTTTTTTGTTTTTTGTTTTTTTTGCTCAACAGTGTGAAAGACTGGGCATTGAATAAAATTGTGTCATATGAACTGGTCATTTAAAAACCAAAATCATGTTGAACTTGATGAGTTGATTTCTGTTGAGCATGATTTCAGATGAAGTGTAAGTCCACTAGTTTGTTCTTCTCTCCATACCCTATCTCTATAAAATTGTTTTGCCTTGAGCAGCCCAAGATTTCCAATTTTAACTGCTCCACCAAAGAGCATGATGCAAACGCGGGAGAATTTGTATCAGAAGTTCCAGTATCTTGAAACTGGAATGTGGATGATTCATGAGTTTTGCATCAATTATTAAACAGTCATAGATGAAGATACACAGGGATGGATGGAGCAGTAACATATTCTGGTTACACCTACTGGCTTAGCAGTGATAAATGAGTCAGGAAACCAGAAGTTCAAAATAGGCATCAATTTGAGCTGCAATGGCAAAGACTCTGAAATGAGGTAGACAGTTGCTAAATATAAACAACCTACTATATAGACCAACACGCTGGCAGGATTAAAATAAAGGTCAGGACTAAGGAATTTCAGAATCCTGCTGTACCAATCACCCTTTCCCTTAAAAGATTCGTGAGGGCAGCATAACACAAATAATGATAACACTGGGGGAAAAGGGAGACATTTTTATAGCTGGAACCATGCCTGCCGATGTCCCATAAATAGTCTTGGATCACATGGCTTAGACTTGAGCCTGAATTTGTGTGTGTGTGTGTGTGTGTGTGTGTGTGTGTTTCCTCTGTGCCTGGCTATTCCAAATCCCCACACCTGCCTCTGTGTTATGTTCTGATTGGGTCACAGACTCCATTATACTATGTTGCCTGGACACATGCTCTCTAGTAGGCATTGCTCCTTTTATCTTTCTCCTTCCATGATACACATTTTTGTATGTGAAAAGTATTCTATGTGCATGTCTATGATTCCTCATGGTTTAAAATGTGCTATAGCATCCGGCTGGCCAGTGTGGTTCAGTGGTTGAGTATCAACCTATGTACTAGGAGGTCATGGTTCCATTCTGGATCAGGCACATGCCTTTGTTTCGATCTCAATCCCCAGTGGGGGGCATGCAGGAGGCAGCCAATCAATGATTCTCTCTGAGGTTTCTGTCTCTCTTTCCTCTCAGAAATCAATAAAAATACGTATTTTTTAAAAGTAATAATTACCTTTAAGAATTGGGACAATGCTTTAACCAAAGGTATTACTCTCATGGTAGGGGCTGTCGGTATCATGGTAGTTGGAGCCCAGTGGTCTTTCCTAACAATTTTTTAAAAATCTATTTTTATTGATTTTTTTTTCAGAGAGGAAGGGACAGGGAGTGAGAAATAGAAACATCAATTATGAGAGAGGATCATTGATTGGCTGCCACCTGCATGCCCCACAGGGATCGAGCCCACAATCTGGGCATGTGCCCTTGACTGGAATTGAACCTGGGACTCTTCAGTCCACAGGCGGACGCTATATTCACTAAGCCAAACCAGCTAGAACTTTCCTAACAATTTGTAAATGATATGGATAGCATGCACATGTGAAAGAACATTTTAGCAAATACAAAAACAATGCTTTTTTTTTTCTAACGGCTGAGAGAATAGTGAGTAAAAATAGATGCAGCAGGCAGAATTTATTTGTAGACGCTTGAGTGCTGGAGAGCAGACGATTATTTTTGAAGATGGTGATAGAAACTCCATGGAGTGGGGTGGAGTGTTTTTAGCGGAAGTGACTTGAAGGGCAGGGACCTTGAAGCGTGTATCCTCCATGGAGCCTGCAAGAATGCTCTATACATCCTGTGCAGTGGTGAGTAGTTTAAATAAGCGAACAGATCCATGCCTGAGAATTATTGATTAAGAAAATATGTATCCTGCCTTGTTTTGACCTGTGTGAATCTGAGAGGGAGAAGAAGGACATTTTCACAGAGAGCCTGGGCAAAAAGGCAATGTGTCCGGCAACTGAGAAGGAGAGTTTTGTTTCCCTTGGAGTGACATTTTCTTGGAAATGGAGCCAAGGGTTGACCTTGGGAAAAGCTGCTTAACTCTTCTGACACCCAACTTCCCAAAGGGAAAAGCCCACCCTTTAGTCCTCAACGCGTGGACCCTGACCCCCACCCAGAACTCCGTGTTAGCATTGCTGGGAGAGGAAGGACCAGAACTGACTTTAAGCAGCATCTTATTCCTAATGACAGGAGTGGGGCGTTGTTAACCCCCAGGCCTAGTCTCTCCCCTTCACCCCCACCACCTTCTCCTTATTCCCCACTACCCCTTTCTCTGGAAGGCATTTGAGGGCTCTGGCTCACTCCTTAGTACCCCACAGAAGCCTGAAAGAAAAAAGAAATGGCTTCATCTTCATTAGGTTCCATCCAAGTTCAGAGTCTCTGTGAATAACCCCACTGCTAACCACGCACTGAAAAGCCAATAGCAGTACCTAAGCAGTGTGTCAGAGGCAGTGCAAACACTAAACGTGTACATGAGCGTGCTTTGCTAAGATGCACCAGCAGTGACAAAGAAACGTGGGCAAATAATCCACTTGAGGTGGTTGGCTCCCCAGCCCTGCTGGGCTTTCTTCCTCCTCAGAGGGCACTTGTTAGAGGAATAGACCTTCTAAGCTTGCATTAGGAACGGGATAAGCATTAGAAACTGGATAAGCACTCGCTTATTTCATGTTTCCCCGAAGTAGCATTCATCTGGAGGGCTCTTCCTGAGGGAACGGACTAGGTTTCTGGTTGAGACCATCAGTAAGGAATGGGGCGGTCTTTTCTGAAGGAAGACTATAGGCCAGGTGTCACAAGCTGGTGACTCACACACCGTATTCAGCCCACAGACAAGATTATGTACTTTTAATGTCCTGGTGCTGGAAAAAAAAAATAGTTGCCCATGTATAAAATTTAAGAGATTTTGCATAAAATTTTTGATTTCCAACAGATATTTCAGAATATCTGTCAATGCTCGCAATAGTTCGTGGCCATGATTGGCTTAAGCGGAGCAGCCCTTGTCCCCTTAGAGAGGACACAAGCTTTCTACTTCCTCTGGTTTTCTTCCCTCCATTTCCACCTGGTGCTCCTGTGGAGCTTTGAATTTGCTGTCCTGGGGTCAGTCACCTAAGAGGCCCAAACAACAAATCATGAATTAGCCTTGGCCAGGCAGTTCCGTTAGTTGGAGTGTCCCATACACCAAAAGGTTGCAGATGTAGTCCCAGGTCAGGTCATGTACAGGAAGCAACCCGTCAATGTTTCTCTCTCCCCCTTCCTCTTTCTCTACAACCAATAAAAAAACATATCCTTGGGTGAGGATTTTTTTTTTTTTTAAGCAATCATGAATTGCTCTTTTAAATGTGCCTAGCTTGAAAGTGACTATGGTCAGTGCCTTATTCTTTTTCCTTCTGCTCAAAGAATGACCATTAAGAGCATTGCCATACATGGAACAGGACAGTTATATGCAAAGTGGAGAATTGTACACTACTTACCTGAACAAATCAGGCATACCAAGAAAACCCGGAAACGATGATATTAAAGGAAGAGCTGAGATGTGAATTATTCAGGGGCAATTGCCCTCGTTTTCCAGCTCACTGTTTCCCCTCTGCTTTTCTCACATGGTCATAATCTTCAGAATGTTCCTCTGTCAAAGGCCTAGTCATAATTCCCCTCCTCCTCCCCTTTTTAGAACTTACTTGAACTTTCAGGAGCAATTGTTGAAGCCCTGCAAGGGAATAATTTCACAAGAATTAACCTCTGACATTTTTCTAAAAATAGCCCTAATAAATCCAATCATAGGTAATTTACCTGTCCATACTCCTCCGGGGGCAACCGGAGTTGAAGCAGGACTTGGCAGGCTGGCATTCGCTCAGCAGTTATCTGTAATCTGAGTTCCTGGTGCCTGTGTATTTTCTCTGTTGGGAAACAGGACACATTGCCTTCTCCCCTCTGACTCGTGACCGTTTCCCCAGCACCCGTCCCCTGGGGCTGGGAGAAGGCATGCTCTTCCAGAAAGGAGTGTTGGGCTCACCAAAACAACAGACGTACCGTGGGGTCAAGCTGGAGCATTTGTGGGGTCCTTCCTTGAGTTTCCACCTTGCAGAGATTGTCAGTGCGTTTTCACGTCAAGCATCCCCAGCCCTCGTTGGCTTAGCCACCAGGGAAACCTATTTGGGGAAGAAAGTGAAATGCGAAGAGGCCGGGAGTGGGTGCAGGCTGCATGGCTGGTAGAAACTATCAAAGAAGATGCCATTCCCACAGGCCTTAGAGAAACTCATTTTCTCTTGCCCAACATAAGAGGGTCTGAACGTGCTTTTGTTCTCGCTAGATGCTCCAGGAGACCAGAGTGGGCATCTAGGAAACTTCCTTTCCCCAGAGCCACTTCTCCCGGCACCTAAAATACAGAACATAAAACCTCGTAAATTCCGCCGCCGAAACAAAGCCCCGAGCCCTTAAATGCACAGAAAAGTATGTCTATTATCTGTCGTTTCAAAGCACATGCGAAGTGACTTAAATTGCCTTTGTCTTCTTTTTTGCAGCTGACATTATCTCTACGGTAGAATTCAACCACACGGGAGAATTACTAGCGACAGGGGACAAGGGGGGTCGGGTTGTCATATTTCAACGAGAGCAGGAGGTAAGTGGCCAGTGAATGCGAAATGCCCCTCTCCTTCCCTTTTTTTTTTTTTTTTTTTTTGTAGAGGCGGCCTCCTGCCGTTCCTTAATCCTCCATGTGCCCCTTCACCTGGCTGCAAAAAACGGCCAAAAAGTCATTCACATCAACAGTTCCACCTTCCGGCTCATAAAAGTACCTGAAAATAGAGCCATTTCCAGGGCATGGCCTTATCTTTTCATGTTCTCATGTCTCATCTGACCTGCAAAATGCCACGGGTGCTCTCTGAGCATAGCTCAGCCTTTGGGTGTGAAATTCATCCTGGGGTGATTCAAATGAAGCCCCTCCCCCTCTCAGGTGCCCTTACAGAATGTGCAGGATGGGGGGGGAAACGGTTCTTTGTCCACAGGTGTGAAAGGGACAGCTTGGGTCAGCAGAGAAGAAAGCGATAGCTCACCCATCAAAGGGAGTGCAGTCCCCCAAAATGACATCTGAGCGAAGCACAGGGCACACATCTTCCTGCTGGTGACGTGAAGGTCCCCGGAGCTGAGTGCTGTGTGCTTTCCGAGCAGGCGTTTTCATTTCCACTGAATCTCAAAAAGCCCATCTTCCCCGCCCCCCCCCCTGGGTTCCACCAGGAATTGTTTCTCTTTTTCATATAAATTGAGTTTCGGGGTGTCTGCTTCTGTGCTGTCAGAATGGAAGCAGGGCCCGATGTGGTTTCCTTGGCTCCCTCAGGCATGGGGCTGGGGCCTCCAGCAGGCCAGCCTGCACGCTAGCAGCTCTCCCATCTGCTGCCGTCTGCCTCCGGGACTCGCCCAGCGCAGCGTGGGGGGACCAAGTGCAGGAGGGAGGGTTCACCGGAGACTTCCCTGGCCATGGAATGCCTGCTCTGTGCCTCAAAGCCATGTATGTCCCACCTCCCCTCAAAATAAGGGGAAGCCTCATTTAGAGGTGATGTATTTGGTAATTGCACATTATTTGCAATTAATTTCTATACGGGCATCCTCATCCCTCGGGGTTTCCGTAGAGATGCAAGCGGCCCGCGTTCAGTCAGGCACCCCGCCTGTGCCACGGGTCCTGGAAACAGGGAAGTGTGCTTGGCAAGTAGGAACTAATAGCTCTTCGTGACCTGGAATGTTTCCTGCTTTTCCGGAGCTGCCGGGTGCTAATTGGTCTGGCACCTACGGCATGCACTTGCCAGTCTGATTTGGATGCTACCAAATCAATGCTTGGCTACATGTATTGTTAAAGGTGGACTGGCTCCTCAGCAGCAGGCAGGCTGGTCACAAGGATGTCTGTCCGTGTGGCGAGTCCTCTTCAAGCTGATTTTCAAACTTCTTCAATTAAAAAAAAAAAACCCATTAGGTTCCTGGTGATGATAAAGAGGAACCGGAGGAGCTATTTAGCATAAATCATCCAGGGCAGCGTGTTGCCAGTAATATTTCCGAGCCACCTTTTCCCTTTGCTATTTATAGTTTTCCCCTATTTTAATTTACTGAAATATGTGGGAAGCCCAATTTCATTAATAGAATGAAGGGGGACACGTTTTTTCCAAAGAAGAGTGATTTGGTTCAATTTAAAAAAAAAAAAAAAAAGTGTGGTATAATAACAGGCAGGTAAGTGTTGAGCTTTGTGGCGAGGCGTGGGGTTGAAATGGGCACACAGCCTCGGAAACAAAGCCATGGGACAACACCGAGGGTCAGGTGTGCTTTCTGTGTCTGTGAGTGACTTCTCAAGAGGCACAATCCTGGAGGGCTTGCTGTAGGAAGGGACCTCAGTGCCCTCCAAAGACATGGAACACCTGGTGTCAGCACCAGAGGAGATTGTGGTTTGGATATTCAGTATCTATCCAGAAATCTAGTTATTGTGTGTTTTTAAAATTGAGACTGTATTAAGAGTCAAGCTTTTGTGACAAATGTCTATAAAGACCTGGAGTGGAATTTTTGAACACAGTTTTCCAAAGCCTGACTCTTCAAACCCTTGGTAGACACATCCTATTATAAAAATGCGTGAAATGAAACCGCCCCTCCCTCTTTTCCTTTCTGCTCTTTCTTTGTTTCACGCCCTCTTTTTCCTTCTCTCCACCCTTTCTGCATACCCTTTCCCTGGTGTTTCATTCTCTCGCCATTTATTTAGCTCCTGCTGTTTGCCTGTTGCAGAATCAGAGCTAGGAGGAAGCAGGGGTGACGTCTCATCACCTCCCAGTGATGCAGGTGGCATCCCTGTGCTCCTGTCTATTTTGTTTTCTGTGTTAGAAAAAAAAAAGGGGGGGTGGGGAAGGACCTGATGCCCAAATCTGCTACTTAGAAGTCCTGTGACCTTGGAGGATGTCTCTGAGCCTCCTTTGTCCATTTCCTTGCCCTACCCACATCTCCAAGATTCTCTGAGAATCAGAGGAGATTTTAAAAGGCCAATGAAAGGCACAGGTGCTATAGCTTTGGACTCTTTGTGTAAGGGATTGATAGACGTATATATGAACATCAGCATGGGATGGCTTATGCCAAAGGGTGTTCAAGACATCCACTGATGCAGATTGAAAATATTAGAACTTCTATTTATGTTGATTTTTAAATGTATATTGATTTTAAAATCATGTCCTAGTTTAACTTCTATTTCTATGTATATGTTACAATGTATACCATATATTATAGAGTTTTATGTATATCATTTATGCATATATGGATATTGGAGGTACTAATATCAATATATGGATATTGGAGGTACCAACAGAGCTGCAAGATCAATGCTTTGGAGGCCTCTAAGCTAAGGTAAAACTCTCATCTCATGCCAATGGCCGGCCTACTCATCCCTAATGATTTTGCTCAAAAAAAAAAAAAAAAGAAAGAAATTGGTGAATTTGCAGATGGCCTATGTGATTTTAATCTTTGGTGTATTCTCCTCATGCTCTTTCCTACAGAGTAAAAATCAGGTTCATCGTAGGGGTGAATACAATGTTTACAGCACGTTCCAGAGCCATGAACCCGAGTTCGATTACCTGAAGAGTTTAGAAATAGAAGAAAAAATCAATAAAATCAGATGGCTCCCCCAGCAAAATGCAGCCTACTTCCTTCTGTCTACTAACGGTATGTACAAGTGTCTTCTCCTACTTGGTATTGTCAGAAGGAGAATCAGCCACATCATACGTTTCAATCTCTCTTAGACTTCATTTTTCTTCTTTATCTTGTGAGCTGTCCCAAAAAAAACCCTGAGCAACCATCTTTGCAGGATGCTTACCTTAGTGCCTGGCGCAGACTGGGCCCTCAGTAAATGGTAGTGATTCTTCTTAAATATCACACATTTCTGACCCAATTATGTGAGCCCCAGTATCTGCAGTTTCTGACTGATGCAGATTATTTCCAGGTGCTTCTGGAATGTGACTTCCTGTTTTAAGATTCATTGAATGTTATTCTGGGAATGCATTTCAGGAACCCCGACAGGCCATCCTGTGAGTCTGACATGCTGAGTAGAAGTTATTAATCCCTGGATGTGTTTGGGGGGTTTTCTCTCTCTGACACAATCGAGTTCTCTGAGCACAGGTCAAGGAGAGAAAGGCACCCGACGAAAGGATGATGAATAAGTGGTTTCTTTCTCTTTCTCCCTCCACGCTCTTCTAAGAGCAATTGTTGATTTTGGGAGAGTTGCTATAAACAGGTCCAAGAGAGAGGAGGTTGGGGTTGAATAGTGAGCCAAATCCCATGTTATTATAATTCGTTGGAATTACCTACCCTTGCTTTTCTCAATGCCATTGCTGACAGAAGCCCACCTATGCTCGAAATAATTTAGAATAACAGCATATACTAAAGGGTGCTAATTGGATAGCATAACAATTAAGAGGGTTAGTGGATAAAAATTAAACACCACCTCCCAAGCAAAGAAGCTGGAGCGAGATTCATTGTGTGTGAGTCTGTGAGGAGGCACTAGTACATTTAAATATGGATCCGAAAGCAAGGGACTTGCTTCTTGCCCATCCCCAGCATTTATAAAGGGAAGTGCTCACATGTCAAGTGAAAAAATGTAAATGCTGATCAGACGTATATTAACATTTTTAGAAACTAAAAGGAAACACACCTATAGGCTTATCATGATTAATTTTTTATTATGTATTATGAGTTTTCTTATAAACTTGTTCTTTTTATCATTTTTATTTTCTAAGTTTTGATGATAAGTTTTATATTTTGTTTTAAAAGGAAGGAGGGGTTTTCTTATTGTGTATGAACCCCAAATCCCTCAAATATAAAGCCAGTGTACAATGCTAAAAAAAAAAAAAAAAAATGGCATCTGAAACAGCCAGTTTGGAGTTAGTTATTCACGCATGGCTTATCTCAACATGTCCAGATTTCCAGTCGTCTGTTTTTCCAGATTCCAAGTAATTTAATTCTTCCTCATAACTGTATTTATTGTTCTATTTATTTTGTCGACTATGTTTCTTGTAAGCCAAACCATATGAATTTTTTTCAATGTCTTCCCACTTACTATTGAAATTTCACTCAAAGACTCTGCAGATTCAACACTACTTAGATTTAAAAAAAAAAAAAAAGACTTCTGATGATTCTGACTTAATTACTTGGGGCAGAGAAAGTGTTTGATTATCTGCTCCAGCTAGCTTACTTTATATCATGAAATTTAGCCTATTGATTATTACAATAAAATTCAAAGATGCATTAACTCCTTTGTGGGGGAAGGATGGGGGAAAAAAATCTGTGAAATGCAATGAAGATTAATTATATAGCATAATGTTCTGTTAATTGAGTTTTTAAATAGTTTTTTGATTAACAGGGATATTATCTTCCCATTTGGAATGCTATTTCATATGCTAACAGTATCTCCAAATGATTCTTATAAGAAAAATTCTCATGTTCTCCTGGGATTTTCTTTTTTATACTAATATTGAGGTTGAGAATTCCCCTTAAGCCAAATAGGTTAACATTCAAAAATTAATGGGAGACAATTGGAATTACTGTACAAAAGAGAAAATGAAGATAGATGATAAGATTGTGTTTAAAAGCTGCCACAAGTAATGATAAATACTCAGAGAGGCAGCCAGAGTATAGAAAACGTCATTACTCATAGGAACGGCCACCTGTTCCTCAAACTTCCTCATCCACAAAGCTTTCAGATAGGGAGTCAAGAAACCCTGTGTGATAATAAAGTCAAGAATGACTCCAGGCAACCCAACCATGGGGAATTGGATTGAATCCACCATCAGTTACCTTCTTTTAAAGAAACACAATTGTGCTTATCGCATTATAATTGGATACAGTTTTTACTTTCTGTTAGAATATAACTTTACAATTTTTAATGAAAAATAAACCAACATTCAGTTGTGAATATAGGCCTTAAAATTATTTACAAGATGAAAACACATTGCCTTGCCTAGTTTTCTATCTCTGTCTTAGTACCTATGAAGGTATATTTTAGTTGGTAGATAGGCTATGAAAATAGTTAGGTGTTCATTGCAAATCCATTAGGTGTTCATTGCAAAGCCATTAGAAAGCAGAGAAGTAAAATGAAAATAATGTGTTCCCATCCAGAGAGAACCACTGTAAGTGTCTTTAAAAAAAAAAAAAACAGCAAAGAGCATGGATAAATTTGATTTTTTTTTTATTAGCAGAAATGTGGTATATTCTGTACAATGTTTGGCAACCAGATTTGTTTATATAATATTTAATAATAGGAATATCTTCCTAACTGTTAAATATTCTCCTTAAATTCCATAACATTTTCAAGGACTGCATAGCATTCCCCTGTATGATTCTTCTATAGTTTACTAATAAATCTCCCATTGTTTGGCCTTTAATTATTAAGTTCACACTATTAGGAATTATATATTTATAGGAATAGATGTTGGAATAGATATGATTAGGAAAAAACATACTCAGAAACTATGCATAACATGTTGTATCTATTTAAAACAGTTATGTGATTGTTCACAGAAATGAAATGAAAGGACATATATAAGGTTTTCATACTAGATATCTCTGTCTAGTGGAATTGAGAGAGATTTTCATTTTTTTACTTTTATGCTCATTTTTATTTTCTTTAGTCCTATCCTATATAATAACAGGGTAATATGCAAATTGACCCTAATGGTGGAAAAACTAGTCACTATGACATGCACTGACCACCAGGGGGCAGATACTCAACACAGGAGCTGCCCCTCACCCCTGCCCTCCCCTCGTTAATAAGCTCCCACAGGGGAGCCCCATTTAGCCACAAACATGGCTGACAGCAGCGGTGGTGGCAGGAGCCTCTGCAGCTCTAAGGATGTCCTGCGCCCCGGGGGAATGGGCCTAAGCCACTAGTCAGACATCCTCCGAGGGCTCCCAGGCTGCCAGAGGGATATATGACTGCCAGCTTAGGCCCGATCCCCGGGAGAGCAGGCATAAGCTGGCAGGTAGGTGGACATCCTCCGAGGGTCCCGGACTGCCAGAGGGTGCAGGCCAGGCTGAGGGGACACTCTCCCCCTTCTGACCCCCTCCCCCCCCGCCCCCCCCCCCCCCCCCCGCCAGTACATGAATTTTCATGCACTAGGCCTCTGGTTATATAATAATAATTATACACTTGTATAATGAAAAGAGGGACTTAAACTGAGGAAATAAACATATTGTAATATTATTGGTTTTTATTTCTCCCCCCCAAAAAATGCATAGAAAAACTAAAAGGATCTATGCAAAAGGTTAACAATGATTGTCCCTGACTGATTATAGGTGATTTTTATTCCTTATGCTTTACCTATGATTTCTCTATTTCCCTACATAACAATTATCACTCACAAGAAAAAGGTAAGGAAAGAGCCGAAACCAGTTTGGCTCAGTGGTAGAGCGTCGGTCTGCGGACTGAAAGGTCCCAGGTTCGATTCTGGTCAGGGGCATGTACATTGGTTGCGGGCACATCCCCGGTCGGGGATGTGCAAGAGGCAGCTGGTCGATGTTTCTCTCTCATCGACGTTTCTAGCTCTCTATCTCTCTCCCTTTCTCCTCTCTGTAAAATATCAATAAAATATATTTTAAAAAAAAAAGAAAAAAGAAAAAAGGTAAGGAAAGAATTGCCTTGCAAATGGGATGGCAAGCAATTGAAAATATTTGGTGTTAATGCCGGCACCGGTTTGGCTCAGTGGTAGAGCGTCGGTCTGCGGACTAAAGGGTCCCGGGTTCGATTCCGGTCAAGGGCATGTACCTTGGTTGCGGGCACATCCCCAGTGGGGGGTGTGCAGGAGGCAGCTGGTCGTTGATTCTCTCTCATCGACGTTTCTAGCTCTCTATCCCTCTCTCTTCCTCTGTGAAAAATCAATAAAAATATATTTTTAAAAAATATATTTGGTGTTAAAAGTCACTGATTTGCATTCTTCAAAAGCACAGCTGATCAGTAGCTAATCAAGTGACTGTATTAACATGACCTGTGTTTCCTTTTTGTCACAGTTCAGTGGCAGGATATCCAGAGGGGGCAGGCCTAGAAGAGGCTGGCCTGGGAAGGGCTTCCTGGCCTTCGTCCCGAGAGAGCCGGGTGCGGGCACAGATCGCACACAAGCGGCCTGGCCAGGCTGCCAGCAGCCAGCATGACCCACCCGAGTGACCTCAGACCTTAGGAAACAGCAGCACTTACTTGTTCAGTTGTCCAAATTGTTGCAGAAAGCACACTTCCCAAGGGGGTGCATTTCAGACCTCCGAGGGCAAGGCTTTGGTGAGGGGAGAAGGAGCAGTGGGGAGAGGGTGAGAGAGAAAGGGAATCCTAGTGAAGGCAGGGAGAGGGCTGCTTCCCCAGACAGTCTTACACAGAGGAAGTGGGATGTGCTGACATTATCCTGGGGGGTGCTAACACGGTCAGAGCAACATGTTGTTATTGCAGAATAGTTGCCCAACCTGCTCATTCTAATAACAGCTGCCATTGTGAACCACCATTAAAAGCCCGATGCTGCTAAGACACTGTACCCACAGTGTTTCAGTCAATCCTCATTAAAGCCCCCTGAGGAAGTCCTGGCTCTCCTTAATTCACAGATAAAGAACTGAAGCACAGAGAAGCTAAGTCTCTTTATTCATAGAACAGTGGTCGGCAAACTCATTGGTCAACAGAGCCAAATATCACCAGTACAACGATTGAAATTTCTTTTGAGAGCCAAATTTTCTTAAATATATTTTATTGCTTTTTTTATAGAGAGAAAGAGGGATAGAGAGTTAGAAACATCGATGAGAGAAAATCGATAGCTGCCTCTTGCACACCCTCTACTGGGGATGTACCCACAACCAAGGTATGTGCCCTTGACCGGAATCGAACCTGGGACCCTTCAAGTCCACAGGCTGACACTCTATCCACTGAGCCAAACCGATTTTGGCAAGAGAGACAAATTTTTTAAACTTAAACTTCTTCTAATGCCACTTCTTCAAAATAGACTCGGACAGGCCATGGTATTTTATGGAAGAGCCACACTCAAGGGCCAAAGAGCTACATGTGGCTCTCGAGCTGCAGTTTGCCAACCACTAGGTTAGAATATTCGGGACATACTTGTACTGAAAAATTACACATTATCTGAAATTCAGATGCACCGGTGTGTTCCGTAGTTGTTTCTCTGCTCAATCTGGTAGTCCCATTTGTCTGTCACTTGAGAAATACTAGGTAGGTGCCCACTGTGTGGGAATCACAGTGCTGGGCCACGTGGCTGGCTGGAGTTGGTGTGGGGATAGGACCAAGGCTATCTGGTCCCACACTTACCTCGTGCAGGCTGAGAGAAAGATTTGAGAAGGCACCTGAGTCCCTGCCTTCCAAAAGATAAGTTAGAACAAGTACAAGATTATGAATGCAGGATCTGATAAGGAAGCCTCCCAAAGGCCAGCAGCCCACAGGCACGATCTGTTTGGCCTGAACATGTTTCTTTACAACATGGAATTGAACATCTGCAGATGGGGCATGCGGTCTGTACCTCCCCATCCCTCCTGCTCCTGTCACTCACCTCCTGACCTGCCCCGCCCCTCTAGGCATTGGGCTTCTCACCACGATTTATTGCTGTAGAAAATGACAAGTGTCAGCAAGTGGAATAAAGTGTGGGGACAGGACAAAGGTGAGAAAGGTGTTACCAGGCGGGGACTCCAAGGAGACGGCACGGGGAAAGGAGCATTTTGATGACTCTCCTTACTTTTATTTCCCTGGGCTGCTAGCAGCATGCACGGTGCTGGTGGAATTCATTCACCCATCCAACTCGTATTTGTCGAACATCTGCCAGGTCCCAGGCACTGCTGTCGGTGCTGGAGGTATAGTAATGAGCAGCACAGTCAGAGTCCCTGCCTCTATATTGACTGTACATTCTGGTGAGGGAGCCATAATCAATACGATTTCCAGCAGTGAAGTGTCCTAGGAGGAGAAACGGAGGAGGAAGAGGGGCTGGAGAGCGGTGAGGAAAACCTTTTTATGTAGGCTGGTTAGGAAAGGCCCCACTGAAGTTGGGGCCTAGGGAGAGAGCAACGTGAAGGAGAGGGTAAAGGCTCTCTTGGCAGAAGGCACAGCTTGTGCAAATGTCCTGTGGCAGCAGTGGGATTAGCATGGACCGAGAGCTATGAGGAAGCCATGTGGCAGGGTGAGATCAGAAAGGATGAGGAAGTAGGAGTGCAGGCCAGGGAGAGCCTCTTGGGCCATGGTAAGGGCAGTGTTTAGTGAAATACAATGCAAACATGGGAATAACAATAGTACCTACCTCTCAGGGTACTTGTGAACATTCAATAAATTCTCCAGGCAAAGTGCTAACATGGTTAATTTTATATATTAGCTACTCTCAGAGTAACTAATATAATCATATAATATATAACATACATATATATATGTTAATTTTATATATTAGTTACTCTTGTTAATTCTGTGTCCAATAAATATTTTTATGGAATGTACAGAATTAACGTCTGAGCTGTAGACTTAACAGCCCATTGTCAGAAAGACCATGTGTCTCTACATGATATATGTGGGTTTTTTTTTTTTTTGAAACGTGAGCTCTGCCTTCAAGTGACACAAGATTTACGCACCAAAACCCTTGACATGAGCCGGCTTCTGTGGCAGTTTCTTCCATGTTCACGTCCGGCTCTCCGATCCTCCCCGCCCGGCCCGGGAAGAAACGCCTTTACCAGCGTTCCCGCACCGTAATGCTGATGTCCTCTGCTTGCCCTCCACAGATAAAACTGTGAAGCTGTGGAAAGTCAGCGAGCGCGACAAGCGGCCAGAGGGTTACAACCTGAAAGATGAGGAGGGCCGGCTCCGGGATCCTGCCACCATCACAACCCTGCGGGTGAGTCCAAAGGCTCTTGTTTATTTGTTTTCTGCCTCCATCTTGGTGCCTGAGGTTGGCCACATGCTGGCTGCTGTGAATGTTGCAACTGTGATGTGAGAGGGGGGTAGACCCAGCAGAGACCCGCCTGCCTGAGACTCCAGTGGCAGATGAGGGTGCAGGACAAGTGCCAAGCTCCTCTGACCACACACCCATGCATTTCCTTGGTCCACGTGGCCAGTGGCATGTGTTCCTGTGTGCTTAGCCTCTGTTTTCATTGCTTACACATCTGGAGCATCTTTGTACTCAAAATACAGGGGACGGGACTACCCAGAAGGGAAGTTGAAGACCCCATTCAAAACATAAACCTCTACCCCAGCCTGTGTTGATTGAGCATCGACTCATGAACCAGAAAGTCACCATTTGATTCCAAGTCAGGGCACATGCCCCCGGTTAAGGCTCCATCCCCAGTAGGGGGCATGCAGGAGGCAGCCAGCCAGTGATTCTCCCTCGTCACCCATGTTCTATCTCTCCCTCTCCCTTCTTTTCCGAAAGCAATAAAAATGTATTTTTAAAATACAAAATAAAACACTCATGAGCGTCTGAATCTAACAAGACCAGGTTTAGGTTCCGCCCCTTACCAGAATCACTCAGCTTTTTGAGCTGTAGTCACACAAGTTATTTTTAGTTTCTCCATCTGCAAGACCATGACCTTCACCTTGACGGCACGTGGATTTATGAGGATAAAATGCAGTGAGGGTGGAAAGCCCTGCCGCCATGGCTGGGCCTCCATAAACGACCCCTACTCTTAGTCTGAGTGGCTTCCTCCCTGCCCTCCAGGAATGCACTGTCTGGTAAGGAAAGAGGGTTCGTAGGCTAATGCACAAACGGCTCTGACACTAAATGGAGGGAGATGGATGCAGTGCGAGTCGGAGGGAGCTGCTGTTGGATCAGAGGAAGGGGAAATCACATTGGTTCTGGGAGACCGGGAAAGGGTGCCTGGGGAAGCGGTGTTAAAAATAGATTTCTAAAAGTGGACTTTTAAGGGAAGGCTCTCCCGATCTGGGTTAAATTGGTTCAAGCCTGAGTCATGAGTTTAGCTTTAGATGAGTCTGGTGTGAGCAGAAAAGCTAGCACATGTCAGGGCCGGCCCTGGCCTCGGGGGACTTTTCCAACCGTGTGAAATACGTGTTTCCAGCCAGCGGCTGCTCCACTGCAGGCCGGCAGCGAGAACAGAGATGGCGGAGCACATCTGGGGAAGAGAGGCTGTCACCCAGGTTTAGAAGCAGAGATGGGAGGTGAACGATGGTTGTGTGTCTGATTCACTCACTCATTTATTCATTCGTTCGTTTGTTCATCTGTATATTGAGTGGGTGCTGCTTGAACACAGACTCTGCTGACCACGGTGCTGGGCTGTCTCATGTTGACTTAGTGCTTACTGATGAGTGCCTGGTCTTCAGTTGAGCTCCTTCTGAGCCAGCAAGCGTTGGCTGCTCTGCCCGCTCTTGTCAGCTAGAGTGTTCAGCCTGGAGAGCTGCCTGCGAGCCCATCCCACCAGACCAGGCCAATGCTCTAAGTGCTCAGAGCTGAGACTGGAGGGTGAAGCAAGAGGAATATGAAGGTTGAGTCCATCCGTGCTGGCTTGGAACTGTGGTTCCATTGATCTCTGTCTAGTGACCTTGATCATGGTACCTAAACGCCTTGGGCCGCTGATGTTGCATCTGCACAACAAGGTGGTCACTACTTCCTGGGACAGCTGGGAGGGTTCAGTGCTGCCTTGCGTGCAATAAAGAGCTTAGCCCATGCCTCATCTCACAGAAAGTCAGCTCCCTGCTGTTACTCTGCATCACTCTCATCATTAGTGTGGCTCTTATTACTCCCTGCTGTGAGCAGGCCTCTGCCTCTGAGAAAAATGCATACTCATTTTTCCTGTCGCACATTTTTTTATATTGTTTTATTTACAAACTTTTCACTGGTGTCTGCTAAGCGGAAAGCACTATCTATGCAAGTGATACAAAAGGAATAAGATATAAGATAGCCTTCCAGCCCCCAGGACCTGACTACCCTATAGAGAAACAGATGGAGTAGGTGCCACTGGGAAATTTACATGAACTTCTGCCCACGTGTTCTCTTGCTCTTCTTGCTACACGGAGGGGATTTCTCAGACGTAGTCCACAGTATGAATGCCTGTAGTCCCTGGCATTCTATGGGGTTTCCTATACCTGTCCTTTGCCCTGGAAACGCCATCCCGTGATAAAGAGGAGAGAAGGTCTATATGTGAGTTTCCATGAGAGCGGAGATTGTCCCCAGAGTGAGACAGTGAGGTTGGGAAGTGGACTTGTATGCATTCTACAAGGAGGAGGCCCGAGGTGGGGCCGAGTTAGAAAATCCCAGGTCTGGTTCTTGCTTCCGTATTAACCGGCTGGTTGATCCTGAGCCAACAACTTTCATGTGCTCTCTCCAAGCTTACTTTCTAAGTGGCAGAGGATCAGACAAAGTCAGTGTTTCTGCCACCACAGTATTGGTTACAAACATGGGTTCTCAGGACCCAGCCCCAGGCATTCTCTTCAGCTAGTGGGGCGGTCTGAGGAGTCTGCATGTTGGATATGAGCCCCTGAGGTTGGCAACAAGCCCCTGAAGGTGGTGGTTGTCACTGGGCTCTCTGGTCTACCAGCCTCCTTCCAGCGGTTGTTTTTTTGAGCCTCTGTTACTCTCCAACCATTTCAACAGTTCTTGCACCAGTTTGGGAGACACCTTTGCTATAAAATTGTAAATACTTGCATCTGATTTCACCTCCTCTGCCTTCCTAGGCTTTCAAATATCCCATTTCTCAGTGTAAATGTCCACACCCCAGAATCCTTTCCAGGCGAATACTGACTGAAACAGCCTCCTTTCCTTCTTGATCCCAGTGGTAGAGGAAGAGAAAGCCAGGCTACCTGCAGACCGTAGGTTCCGAACAATGACTCCAAACAGCGAATGGGCTGACGTGATATTAATCAGACTATGATTTACTAACACGCTCGGCATTGAAATGTGCATTGCCAGCAATTGTGGCTTTTTTTTTTTTCTTCTTCCCTGTGCTGTGAGTGCCTCCCGCTCCCTTTCAGTTTCCAGTTCTGTGTGGATCTTAAGAGTGAGAATGTTTAATAATACCCGACAGCTAATTAATCCTCACTGAGTAATGAACCTGCTCTGTTTCAGTGCTGGGAGGCTCAGCTTTTCAAAGCAAGAATGTGGCTGTTTTTCCCTTTTTTTTCTTTTTTTTTCCCCCTGGGAGGTGGCCTTTCAAATCCAAACCCTCGTTACCCAGAGAGACTACGAGAAGCACTTCTATGAAAACATTATCTCCTGCTCAGTCTCATAATATTCAAGCGATAATCCTGATAATTTAACAATTACACCTTACAGCTATAAAGAGCCTTTTATATCACAAAGTGTTTCCTTACCTCATCTCTAATTCAGCTTTTGAAAAGCCGCTGAGAAGGGCGGGACAGGTATTTGGCAGGTGAACATGCCGACGTCTAGTGTTTATTGAGCATTTACTATATTCCTGCACCATGCCGGACACACTGTTTGTATTAGCTGCCCCATGACGTGTAGTTCACTGTTAAAATGCCCATTGCTAGGTGAGGCTCAGAGGAGTTCAGTAACACCCCCAGATCATGCAGGGCTAAGAATCAAACCCTGATTGACATGGCTCCGGGACCTGAGCCCTTAAACACGACGCAGAGTCAGAGAGGCTGTGACTTGTCCAATGGCTGTCAACTGGTTACTCTAGAGCTGGGGCTAAACGTCAAGAGCTCTGGCTCTTCAAGTTGGACAAACATCCAGCCTTTGGAATGGTTTTCTTTTTTCTTTTTTTAAAAAATATATTTTATTGATTTTTTTTACAGAGAGGAAGGGAGAGGGATAAAGAGTTAGAAACATCGATGAGAGAGAAACATTGCTAAGCTGCCTCCTGCACACTCTCTGCTGAGTGTGTGCCCGCAACCGAGGTACATGCCCTTGACCAGAATCGAACCTGGAACCCTTGAGTCTGCAGGGCAACGCTCTATCCACTGAGCCAAACAGTTAGGGCTGGAATGGTTTTCTTAATACTTAGTGCCATTATTATTCCAGGTCAGGGTGTCTCTTCCTTTCTCCCTCTCCCCCTCCCCTCCGCCCCCCCTTGACTTTCCGGATCCCTGATAGCAGAATGGACAAACAGAGGCCTTGAGGTCTTATGTAGATGCACATAGCAAGATCCCCTTCTTTCTCCAGCTCCTTTACCCAGGAATAAGAGGCTCTCGGAGCTCTTTCTAGGCGAGGAAGCTCATAGTTCAAGTAATTGGGTCAGCCTGGGATGGGAGCTGGGTGGCGGGGAACGCACTTGGCGCGCTGAGCCGGGAGTTATGATTTCCTTCATTATGGCTGACTGCCGGTGCCTTGGGAACCTGGGCCAGGCGGAAATTTGCTTTAATCAGTTATAAGTGCAGAGTAAGAAGGTGTGAGCCCCCAAGCTGTGATGTGTCATAACCTCCCCCCCAAGTGAAGGGTATGTAATGAGCTCAAGTTCTAATGTATTTTATCCAGAAATTGCTTACAGCTGCTAATAATAATTATGGTAATAGCCACGTTTATGGAATGCTTGCTATATGCCAGGTGCTGGAGTTTATATCCTTACATCGTTTCATCCTACCAATAACTCTCCCAGGTAGGTTCTGTAATTCTTTCTGGATCGTCCTAGATTTTACTCCCTCATTTCACTTAAGTCTCTGCTCAAGTGCTGCCTTCTCAGAGAAACTCTCCTGGAGTGCCCAAGAGAAAAGAGCCTGCTGGCCCTGGCCGGGTAGCTCAGTTGGTTAGAGCCTTGTCCCAATACACCAAGGTTGTGGGTTCAATCCTTAGTCAGGATATATACAAGAAGCAACCAATGAATGCATAAATAAATGGAATAACAACTCTCTCTCTCTCTCTCTCTCTCTCTCTCTCTCTCTCTCTCTCTCTCTCTCTCAAATCAGTCTTCCCATTGACTCTCGGTG